TTTCTCTATAAATTCCCCAGGGCTGAGGCACGAGCACTGTCGCTTTCCCAGACAGTGACGATGCTGATCCTGATCCTGCTGCCCATGGCCTTTCTCCTGCCCTCTGGCACTGGGGCTGGTGAGTGTTGGGGGATGAGGGATTGTGGGGAATGAAGCTGGCAGCTCTCTGGGCTGTTTACAAATCCTGGCTCCTCTCCAGAGTCAGATGCTTCTGCCACGGTGATCGCTGGCTCCTAGGACCCAGCTAGGGAAGGGTTTGGAGTTGGGGGCGATGGAACCCGGGTGGCAGAGCTGGTACTGAGATAGTCTCTCTCTGTGTTTCAGGGGGTTGAGAGAAGGAGAGAGACACGGGGAAATCTTAAGTAGGATCTGGGAGCCCAGACTCCTGGGCTCTATCCCTAGCTTGGGAGTGTGGTCCAGAGGTTAGAGCAGTATGGGGGGTTGGGAGTCAGGACTTCTGGGTTCTAGCTCCTTCGTCTGTGCTGTCAGCTTACACTGAAGTTGTTTAGGGAAGGGGCTGTGCTGCACCTGGCACAACAGGGCCCTGATCTTGGTCAGGGTCTTGGCAGTGCTCAGCACAACGGGGCCCTGATCTCGGCCAGACTCAGTGCAGCACCTGGCACAATAGAGGCACTGATCTTGGTTGGGGTCTGTGCAGTGCTTGGCACAAGGGGGGGCCTGGTTTATGTTGGTCGCACCATATGCAAATAACAGCAACAGATTTTCAAGTAGCCTGGTTGATTTGGATGCCAAATTAACATTACTAAGACATCGCTGAAAACGGTCAGGTGTGAGCTACACACAGATTTGTATTGGTTTAACTAAACTGATTTCAAACCACATCTGTAGTTCAACTGGTTCAACTCTACCTGTGATTTAAAATTGGCTGATAGCATTGGAAATTTTCCAGTGGCCAGCTAACCCCACAGAACCAGTGGTGGGTCACCCATACGAGTGCCTGCCTATGGGGGTCAGGGGAATTGCCCGGGGTTAAAGCAAATGTTTCAGTCTCGCAGTTCCTAAATCCTACATTCCTCTGGTGGTCAGAGACTTTCTCATTTCCACCTCAATGTATCCCTGCCCAGTTTATCCCCATTTGTCCTTGTGACAACATTGTCCTACAGCTTCACTAGCTCTTCCCCTGCCCTTCTGTTCCCTCCACCCTGAAGTCTTTACATTGATTGTCTAGATTGTATTTCATGCCCAGAGACCTATGTGTTTTGAGACTTGTTCTGAACTGGTCTGAAGAGGCTTTTATTTTTCCATGGGAAATTTGACTTTTAATTGAAAGCCCCCAAAGTTCAGGTTTTTTTCTATTCACTTTTTATTAATTTTTTGAAAAGACAGAAAGCGAGAAAACAAACAACAAAATATACATAAACTCCTCATAATACCAAAACTTCTCATAAGATATTAAGTATTTGCTACTTACCTTAGCTAGGTTTGAGACGTTATCTGTAATATGAATGGTTAGAATATTAATCCCTTACTGTATTCCACAATTTACAAACACAATTTGCTTATAAAAATCCCACTAAAGAAAAATTAGTAAATGAAGAAAACGACTAGAAGCAAAACTCAGAGAAGGGGGATAGAGATGGGGAGGGAAAGGAAGTGGATAGATAAGAAGAGGAGGTGAGGGGGGCCCATGCATTTGGTCGGATCATTTGGATACTTCCAGGAAAGCATCTCATGTCTCTAACAACTTTTCTTGGGTATCTCTGTAACAGTGTAGTGGGTTAGCGATTGTCCCTCCCCCTCTGGCTCAGTACATCACTGGGGCACCTCCCAGTATTGGGGAGTTAGCGAATCAGATGTCCGGACCCGAGGCCCCTTTAGTGGGATAGGGCTGAGTCACCAAGTAGGCTTGGTGGCGCTGACCCTCAGGCCTGGCATAGCAACAAACAGGGCATTCATCCTAAGGTGGTGAGGTTGCCACCCCAGGCAACAGGAGTAGGGAGGACCCAGGCCCAACCTACTCCACCGGTGACAGCCCAGGGCTCTAACAATGGCGGATAAGTCAGTGAGGATCCCACCACAACACGCTGACTGAGGTTCTGACAAACAAACTGGACCAGCATCTGTTTTCCCTCAGATACTTCTTACCACAGTCTGAGCAAGGGGTTCCATAGTCCACAGCTCCTCTGTCTTATCGGGGTATTAACCTGCCAGCAATCTTGGTCTGTCCCCTCCACTCTCAGCTTCCTCTGGAGTCAGGGTGATCCTTGACTCAGCAGCAGTACCTGGGGCCTGCAGTAGGCCCCGGACATCTGTCTCCTTCCCTGGCTCAGGCTCAACTGGGCTAGAGGGCCCTCTTATACTTCCTGTCACACCCCTTAGCCACTCCACCACACTACACACAGTCTACCGTTCTTTACTGCCAAGCTTAGGGTGTCTATGGTCCAATCTTTGATTGTTGGTCGCATTTTGGATTTCTGTTTTTGTGGAATGAGTCTTTCCACCACTGTTAGTGCTCTGCTTAGCCAGGGTCTTTCAGATTTGTTCCGCTTCCAATTAACACCCATTAGGTTGAAAAATATATGTTTAATTTTATTTGAAAGAAAAAAACACAAACCCTCTCCAATTCAGTTTTGCCCAAAGCATCTAGGTGCCTTCCCAGAGCATATGGGTTAAGTCAGCACCTGCCGAATTACAGCACCAATATTTGTCTCTTAGCAGCATCTGTTTTGAACGATTGAAGAGCGGTCCAATACATCCTCCGTATTCCCATGGAATTAATCTTAAATGTAGCTCCAAGGAGTAGTTCTGAGCACTGTCTAAAATTTGTTTCCATTTGCTTAGCAGAAAATAGTTGGCCTAATTCCTCTTCCCAATGCTTTAGGGGACTAGGGTTTAGTTAAAATTTGCTGGCCAGGTGTGCATATAATGTTGCCTTAGATCTTGGAAATGTGACAAACATCTGGAGAAACGAAAGCAGTAATGGGTCAGGGGTAGGGAAGGAAGTGGGGATAAACAGATGAGAGACAGCATGTTACTGTTGCAAACCTTGCCACTCCTTCTTACTCTCTCACATAGAGCTAGTCAATAGGTGGACCATGGACCACATCTGGACTGCCGGACACTTTTGAATGGACCCCAAAATCTTTTTATTTATTATTATTATTTTATTATCAATATTGTTGTTTTTTTATTATTGTGTTCTGTGGAGTCTATCCTTGATTATACTTTGACCAAGACATTTGGACCTTAACAAAAAATAATTAACTATCTCTGCTCTGGCAAAATTGAAGACCAAATATTTACAAATATTCAACTGAAAAATGTCAAAAACTGGAGGAAATAACAAGATTTCAAAGAAAAATGCCAAAATGTTGAGGTGAGGAGGTGTGTTCTAAGAAACTTTTCATTATCTAGAAAACCCAATTTTCTATTGAAAAAGAATTTGGAGGGCCAGTTTTGGAGCAGCCCTGGCTTGTCACTGTGGCTTGGTGGGGAAAGTGAAACATCAGCAGGGGATGTGTCAGTGGTTTTCTGGTTGACTTTGCCTCCCAAATCCATTAACTCAAGGCAGAGCAATTACTTACCCTCTCCCGGTGTGTTTGACACTGATTTGCCACCCAGATAGGTCAGAGCTGTAGATTTACCCCCAGCCCCATGGGGTGTTCAGTCTGGCACAGAGCGGAGCAGGGGGCAGGGTTCCAGGCACAGGGATCTCCCCCCTCAGGAAAGCATCACAGGGGGTGGGTTGAGGCTGTGGGGACTCCCCTTCAGGATAGGGAGCTCAGTCCCAGCCTGGCCTGGTGAGAAAATGGGTCCCTATATATGAATCTGTTCCCCCCACCCCCAGGTGAGATTATCGGGGGCCATGAAGCTCAGCCCCATTCCAGACCCTACATGGCCTATCTGGCTATATGGCATGGAAATAATAGCTCCTTCTGCGGAGGGTTCCTGGTGGCGAAGAACTTCGTGCTGACGGCCGCTCACTGCAATGGAGAGTAAGCGCCTCTGTGCTGGGGATGTCGGGGCAGGTCGGGGTTAGTGAGTGATGAGGGAGCCGGGAGTTCTGGCACCATGGTAGTTGCAGTGAAGGAGCAGTTAGTAGGACAGGCTGGGAGAGCAAAGCCCAGAGTCTGATCTGCTCAGGGAGCGTTGGCCTGTCTCTAGGGGCCTCTGCAAACCATGGTCCAGCACCAATGTTGGGTAAATCAATGGAGCTACAGCCAGTGAGAGCAGCTGGGGTCTGGCCCATTGCCCAGATCAGGGCAGTGAAGTGCTCACAGCCCCAGGACAGCTCTGCAAGTCTTTGGGTTGCGGGGGCTGGGCATGGACCCCTGTCTGGATCTAGCCGGGAGGGGTCACAGGGATAAGGGAAGCTGAGACCCTGGGGCCAGGAGGACAATAGGGAGTGAAGCTGCTTGAGGGACAGCACAAGGGCTGGTGAAGACACAGGCTGGAACCCAAACACCTCTGGACAGATGCTTTGTGCCAGAGCCCGTGCCCGCCATAGGGGAAAGGCCCTTGTGCCATGCCCCACCCCACCTGAGCAAGCCAGTGTCCCCCCCGCAAGATGGATCGGAGCCAGCTCTGCTAGAGGTGAAAAGGCCTCATCTCCCATTCCCCAGACAGCCAGTCTCCAGTCCTGGGTCTGGATCAGACACAGCAATGTGTCAATGGGTATTTTACATTTTTACTGGCTGTGAACTGAGTCCGAAAACACTTCTTTAAACCCCAGGCTGACTTGTCCCCCCAAGTAGATGCCTTCCTGTGTCAGACCCACATGTGCCCATCCCATACCATGGACATGTTCTAGCCCCTACAACCCACATGTTGCTCTCGTCTTTTGCAGCAAGATCATTGTCGTCCTGGGAGCCCACAACATTACCAAAAATGAATCGAGCCAACAAGTGATCCCTGTGAGATGCCAACACCCCCACCAGGATTATGACAAGGAATCCCATAATAATGACATCATGCTGCTGGAGGTACAGCCCCAGCCCCATCCCATCCCACCCCCCCAAGAGATCTCACAATGCTGCAGAGACCACCCCCATCCCATCACCATGCCTCCAGTGACTTCACACTGCTGCAGATACTACCCACACTCCATCATCCCACCCCGAGTGACCTCACACTGCTGCAGGTACCATCCCATCACCCCACCCCCAGTGACCTCACACTGCTGTAGGTACTGCCCCCATCCCATCACCGCACCCCCAGTAACCTCATGGCCATACACTGGCTTTAGGTTATTTCTCCTTGGGTTAATATGTCTCTGCCCATCATTGGCTCTGGCACTTGTATTCATCCTTGTCCTTGTGTCCTTTCCTGTTTGTAGCTGGAGAGCAAAGCATCTCTCAATGGAGATGTCGGGCTCATCCCCCTGCCCGTGGCCCATCAACAAATGCCTCCAGGCAACGTGTGCAGTGTTGCCGGCTGGGGCCGGACCAGTGCATACAATAATCTGAGCTCGGACACACTTCAGGAGGCGGATGTGGAGGTGATGCCGGATTCTGCGTGTCCGAGGAATCGTCGTGGGATATACCATGATTATAACCCCTCCACCATGATGTGTGTGGGGAAAAAAGAGAAGGGCAAAAGTTCTTTCAAGGTAAATCTCCTCCTGCCTTCAAGCTCCCTTGACAAATTTTTGTTGTTAATGAGGCTGTTGTGGTTGGGCCTCAGATTGAAGATCAGAGGTCAGGCCCTGCTGTGCTCGGTGCTGTACAAATGAAAGGGGAACTAGGATGTTGCTAGTGATGCAAGGGGTGCTGCTAAAATCTGTTCTTTATCTGTTTCTTGTTCCATTTCACAGGGTGACTCTGGGGGTCCCCTGGTGTGCCAGCAAACAGCCCAGGGCATTGTCTCTTGGGGATCAGAGATGGGGACCCCACCCGCTGTGTATACAAGAGTCTCCACCTTCATCCCCTGGATACGGAAGACTATGAGGATGCTGCAGCCTTGAGCCCTGCTTGTAATCACTGCACGGGCTGGAGGTTCACCACTTCTGTCCTTTGGCTTGGTCCAGATGTAGGGTCTGCTTTGCAGGGGGGGCTGAGTCGCCCCCCCCCCAGCAATTGCTCTCTGCTCAGGCAGCGCCTAACCCATGAGCATCAAGGCAGGAAGCCTAGGGGAGTTAGGGTCAGGTTCAAGGCCAGCTTCTGTTGGCTCCCTTGGAAATCCTGACCCAGACCCCTAGGCTGCCTCTTCAGTAGGGAAAGAACTGGTTTTATTTCCCCCGGGGTAATGGACACAAGCCAAACCCAGGGAGGACCCAGCAGTTTGTGCCTCTCCCCCGTGTCAGCCAGTCGGGTGACCATTTATGGGAGACGTTAAAACTGAAGCCTGCCCTGTCCTCTCTGGTCCTTTCCCACATGTTAGTTCCCCCGGGATGGCCACCTCCTGTTCCAAACACACATGTTCCTAGGACTGGCAAGGCCAGCGGGAGTTTGTTCATGGGGAGGGAAATTAGCAAAGGATATGCTGATTTCAGATGAAATGACAGCTCTGAGCGCCGCCTCCTAACCTCCCCTTCCCTGCCCTACTGCTCAGCCTGCTGCATTTCTCTCACTGCTTCTTAGCCAGCAACGAATAAAAATGAAGTTACAAAACAATGAATTTGTGCCTTCCTGGGAACTGAATGAATGCCCCCAGTCAATTGTTGTACCTAACAGCTGTAACCAGGGACTGGTTTGGACCCCATGAGGAATTCACCCCCAGGGTTGGAGTAGTTCACGCCGGGTCTGCTAGAAAGACAAGGAAAATCATGAGTGAAAAAGCAATGCACTATTTGTGTTATCAGTTCTCCTGGTTATGGTATCCCGTCACTGACACCTGGGACATCTCCCTGCCAATAGAGCGCATTTAGACCCATTGGAGGAGAAATCGGTACCAGTGTATTTTTAGTTTCCCTTCTACGTAATTCCTTTTCCACTCTGTACACCCATCCAGAGACAGAAGGATCACAAACAGGAGACAGGCTGGTCCCCTCCATCAGGCATCTGAGCCCAGACATCAAGGCCCCCTACTTTAGTAAGCCCAACCTAACTTAAAACAATCTCCCAGAAATAAATCAACATCAACAAATGTAACTTAATAAATAAGATATGAACAACTCAAAAATCAGAAGAAAGAAATTATCTAGACCATCCCCTGACAGGTGTTTGTCTAACCTGTTCTTAAAAATCTCCAGTGATGGAGATTCCACAGCCTCCCTGGGCAATTTGTTATAGCGCTTAACCAGGCTGACAGAAGTTTTTCTTAATGTCCAACCTAAATCTCCCTTGCTGCAATTTAAACCCATTACTTCCTATCCTGTCCTCAGCGCTTAAGGAGAACAGTTTATCACTCTCCTATTCATAACAATCTTTTAGGTATTTGAAGATGGTTATCATGTCCGGGCTCAGTCTTCTCTTTTTCAAACTAAACAAACCCATTTTTTTTCAATCTTCCCTCATAGTTCACGTGTTCTAGTCCTTTAATAATTGTTGTTGCTCTCCTCTGGCTTTTCTCCAGCTTGTTCTCATCTTTCCTCAAGTGTGGTGCCCTCAGCTGGACCCAATACTCCAGTTGAGACCTAATCAGTGCTGAGTAGAGCAGAAGAATTACTTGTTGTGTCTTGCTTACAACACTCTTGCTAATACATCCCAGAATGACGTCCACTTGTTTTGCAATAGTGTTACATTGTTGGCTTCTATTTAGTGTGTGATACACTATGACCCCAGATCCCTTTTTGCAGTACTCCTTCCCAGGCAGGTATTTTCTATTTTCCATTTGTGCAACGAATTGTTCCTTCCTAAGTAGAGTACTTTGCATTTGTCCTTATTGAATTGTGTCCTATTTATTTCAGACCATCTCTCCAGTTTGACAAGATAATTTTGAATACTAATCCTGTCCTCCAAACCACTCGCAACCCCTCCCAGCTTGGTATCATCTGCATACTTTATAAGTGTAATCTCTATGCCATTATTTAAATCATTTATGATACTATCGAATTGAACCTGACCCAGTACAGATCCCTTAGGGACCCATCTCGATATGCCCTTCCTGCTTGGCTGTGAACCACTGATAACTACTCTCCGGGAATGCTTTTTCAACCAGTTGTGCAGCCACCTTATAGTAGGTTTGTCTAGGCTACATTTCCCTAGTTTGTTAATGAGATGGTCTTGCGAGACAGTATCAAAAGCTTTACTAAAGTCAAGATAAATCCCATCTACTGCTTCCTCCCATTCACAAGTCTTGTTACTTTGTCAAAGGATGCTAGGTTGGTTAGATGTTATTTTTTCTTGACAAATCCACATTAACTCACTTACCAGCTTATTTTCTTCTAGGTGCTTAAATCTGAGTGTTTGATTATTTGCTCCATTCTCTTTAAAGGTACCAAAATAAAACTGACTGGTCTATCATTCCCTGGGTTCCCTTATTCCCCTTTTTATAGAGAAGTACAATATTTGCCCTTTTCCAGGCCTCGGGGATCCTTCCCACCTTCATGAGTTCTCAAAGATAACCACTAATGTATCAGATATCTCTTCGGCCAGATTGACAAATAGATAGATAGATGGTGTGGATGGGGATAGATAGATATGGGGCTGTATGGGGAGAGAAAGAGAGACAATGGGGATGGATGGATAAATTGATAGACTCTGGACTTGCACTGCTGCTGAGAGCCTGGTTGACCTTTGGGGACTGAACATAATTTAATACCTGGCCCTACAGTTTCTCTTGGGAAATTCTCTGTTACTCAGACACTCTAGGGGCACCCACCTTTACCCAGTTCATAGGGCACAAGGTTTAACCCTCTTAATTTATGCACCCACCCGTACCTATTTGTAGGGCTCAGGCATAACCTTATACTCTAGGGCACCCACCCTTACCCGTTCCTAGGGCTCAAGCGTAACCTAACTTTACCCCTCGGTGGGTTCCAGGCTGTACTCCTCCGTGGGCTCCAGGTAAACACCCATTCCCTGTGGACTCAGGGCTTAATCCTTTGCTGGTTTGTGGGGTCTTTTACCAGTGAAAGAGCCTTACACTGTAATATCCTACTTAACCTCTATTTATTAACAATCACTAAAACAGAACGCACACGCAACACACACAGTGCTCACCACCCTCAATAAGACAGATGAACTTTTCCCTGCTGGCCAGTCAGGATCAGGTCCATCTGGGGGACTTCAGTCTCTACACAGTGTCATTGGCAGAGTGTTAGGGTCTGGCAGCTCTGATCTTTGGGGCTTTGTCCTGGAGTGGTTCCCAAAGAACTTCCCTTTGGATCCCAGTTTATATAGTGAAACTTGAGTCTTGCTTAGCTGTACCTTAACCAATTATTCTACTAATGTTTTACTAACCAATCCTAACAAAATTCTCTAACCAGTCATACCCCACCACCTTAATTAATTTACACCTAGCAAAATTAATTATGTAACAGTCAGAAACAATCAAAGAACCAGACAGAGATCATACAGATAAACAATAGAGAGGTGGGGACCATGAAGACAAAACAATAAAGAAATGAGGAATTCACAACCACAACTACTGATATGTGGCTTCTTCCCAGACAGACTGCACCAAACCAAGTTTTCTTTAAGCATCTCAAGATCCGTTTCTTTATCTGGTGATGGTGGGTGTCATTGGGACAGGGTCTCCTCCGCTACTTAGCTCATGGCTCCTGTTCTTCTAACGTGGCTGCAGACAAAGGTCTTGGGCCTTACAATATGGCTGAGGTTGCTGAAGGATTTTAATGCTGCCTTTGCATCCCCAGCTCCCCCCGACCCAAACCCAAGACAACCAAGAACCCTCCTAAGGCAGCTTCTCTCCCATCCCAGCTGGGGCAGAATTCTCCAGCCAAATTCGACCTGACAATCCCAATTAGCTGCCTGTGCAATGCTGCAGCACAAGGGCTAGTGCTGTCCTTGGCTGTGTCAACAGGGCCGTGGTGAGCTGAGGCAGGGAGGGGTGTTTCGCTGGGGCTCCAGGGATCCTGTGCCCAGTTCTAGGGTGCACATTTTAAATGGGATGGCAGCAAATTGGAGACGGGGCAGGACAGGGCCAGGCAAATGACTGGAGGGCTGAAGAAAGTGCCTGGCAGGGAGAGATTGAAAGCGCTCGCTCTGTTTGGCTTCTCCACAAGTCACTGGGGAAGTGTCTGGTGCTCAGGGCACAAGGACCTTCATGAAGAGAAAAAAGATGGGCTCTGGGAGGCTCTTGAATCCAGCAGGAAAGGGCAGAACAAGATCCAACAGGGAAATCTCAAGCCTGACCAAATCCAATGGGAAAGGAGGCCCCCCGGGTGGGACAAGGAGGGGGATTAACCAGGCAACCAGCAGGGGAGGTTCTCCATCTCTGGATGGTGTCAGACCCAACCTGGCTGCCTTGCTGGAAGAGGCGTTCACCGGACACCAGTGATGGAGCTCAGTCCGGGGAGCTGGGTGAGGTTCTTCAGCCAGAGTCATTCAGGAAGGCAGATGGGAGGATGGAATAGAATCTGCTGGCCTGAACATCTGGGGATCCAGGCATCCAGGGGCAGAACAGACAAGGGGGGATTCTGCCATCTGCAGCTGGGGGGCCTCAGAGCTGGCCACGTCTCCAGCCAGGGGCAGGGAAGGCACCAGTGCAGGAAGGAAGCCTCCCATGATGCAGATGGGGATGTGGCTCAAGGTTTCCTCCCAGGAATCTCCACCCCTGACACATTACTGCTGGGGAATTTCTTGCTAGCCGGACACATGACCCTGTATGTCCCGGGTCAACTCTTCCCAGGGACCTGTCCCTGCTGCCCACTGTATATAAGCCCCAGGGCTGAGATAGATCCTCCAAACCCAACCCCTGGATTTGAACCAAGGATGCTGCTACTGCTCTCCATGGCTTTTTTCCCACATCACACTGGTGAGTAGAGCGACTGGTTGATTTCCCAACTCCGGAGGGCTCACACCAGGAGTGGGGCTGAGCGAATCGCTATGTTTTTCACTCAGGGGCTGAACAATACAATCTGGGGGGGGAAATGGGTTCCTCCCAAAAATGATTTTTTAATTTTTTTCTTGCCAAATCAGAAACTCTAAAAATACATTTCAGAGGGGTAGCCGTGTTAGTCTGTATCAGCAAAAACAACGAGGAGTCCTTGTGGCACCTTAAAGACTAACAAATTTATTTGGGCATAAGCTTTCATGGGCTAAAACCCACTTCATCAGATGCATGGAGTGAAAAATACAGTAGGCAGGTATATATATACAGCATATGAAAAGATGGGAGCTGCCTTACCAAGTGGGGGGTCAGTGTTAACGAGGCCAAATCAATCAAGGTGGCTGTGGCCTGTTCCCAGCAGTGGACAATAAGGGGTGAATATCAACAGAGGGAAAATTACTTTTTGTAGTGACCCAGCCACTCCCGGTCTTTATTCAGGCCTAAAATAGACTTAAAAGTGGCCATTCTTCAACAAAAAAACTTCAAAAACAGACTTCAATGAGAAACTGAAGAACTGGAATTAATTTGGAAACTTGACACCATCAAATTAAG